AGTCCGACCTACCGCTTTCCTCGCGCTTATTCGCTCAAACGTTTTATAGAATTACTAGATAACTATTGTAAATTTTACAAAATATTATAGTAATTTTCTGTTCAACCGTTCTACCTGTATACGAGCAGATGAACATCTTATTCGTAACACCCTTAATATATGTATACATGTATGTATGTATTTATTATATGTATGTACACTAGGACCGGTATTCATAGTCAGATCTCATACATAAGACCGTCTTGAATTTATCTAAAGATGCTGTATCGAACATTTCTTTGGCTACGGGGTATCTGAAGATAATCTTAAAACAGTCTTGAATATAAGATCTAACTATGAATACCGGTCCTAGTGTACATACAAATGTTCATATGGACACGAAAAAAAACTGATGTTTCAACAAGATCAATGTAATTAAAACTACAAAATTCGTGATATCACCTTAAAAAATAATCTTTTTTGATAAAAAAGATTTAAAAAAGACGCCAAGTATAAGCGTCATCCAATCAAGAATTATATAGGGTGAAGTGGGGTGATGTGAAACATGGGGTGATATGAAACACGGCGATTTCTCGCACCTTACGTGACATATGATTAATATGACATATGTCATCTGTTTTTTTTTCATACCACCTCATATTTAAGTCACTAGAGTATTCAGACGTAGGTATATTTCGATTCTCGTTGAAACACGTGAAAAAATTTTTTAAAAGTTATTTTCGGTGATCACAAAAATCGTGTTTTTAGACAAATTATTCATCACATTATAAGGTTATTACAATGTAAGTGTTGGTTTCTTCAATATCTTTCAGAATCTGAAGTGAGTTTGCATTTTCTTATATCGTGCTGATTTAGTAGTAAATTCACATTAAATGACAGCCAGTGGGGTGTTGTGAAACACTTTTAGTGGGGCGATGTGAAACACGCCATTGACGCTATTTTTCGTGTTTTATTGAAAAATTTGTGCATATTAAGAGGATCCTAAAGCTACGCCCGAACTCCGACGGGATAGCGCCCTCATCTAAATGGAATAAGAAAACACCAACCAAAAACACACCGAGGAAAGCTACAACAGCACGGAAGCCACAATCAAAGAAACAACGTCATCGCAAAACGTCCACTTCATCATCATCCGAAGAGGACCAAGACTTTTGTATGATTTGTTGTGAATTGTTGCCAAAACATTTAAATCGCAACAATTCAATTGCATGTAACAAGTGCAAGCGCCCATTTCACCTAAAGTGTGTAAATATGGGTAATTACTGCTTTTTTACATGCCAAAATTGTGACTCGGACCTTGATATCTCAGACTAATGGTTTTTGTTTTTTTCACTTGATTTGTCATTTTTCACTTGATTTGTCATTTTTAACTTGATTTGTTATTTTTAAGCAGTTAATAAAATATTGTTTTCAAGTAAATTTGATATTCACTTTTTTTTCCTTGAACGTGTGTGTATGTTGAACGTGTATATATGTGTTATGTTGACGTTTATGCCCTTTAGACGCAAATTTTGTTGCTGTTTCACATCACCCCACGATTTGGAAAAAGTCCAAAAATCAACACCTTTGAATTTTTTCTCCATTTTTTTTAAATCAAAATATTCTAAGTCCGTGATTACAGAAACGTAGAATAATTCACCCTCTACCGAATAGAGCTATTAACTGACCAAAAATTCAATTTCTTCACACTTTTGTGGGACTCCAAAAAAACGTGTTTTACATCACCCCACTTTACCCTATAATTTAATTATTTTGATGTTTTTTATTTAAAAAAAATTGTTTTATCTTCCCACCTCCAAAGTATCTTCTCTACAAAAGTAATGATATCATCAAATGGCGCCAACTAAACTGAATATACAAACTAGGTACTTTATTATTTTTTATATTAGAATGACGATATTATCCATTGCACCTATAATACTATCATTGCACCAGTCAGCACTCAGGATTTTTAGTAATTTACTAAATCGCAAGCAATCCAGCAGGAAAAATAGCATCGTCTGCAGAGGGCTTCATATCCAAACAATATCAAGCATAAAATTTTATCGGAAGAAATAAAGGGAATAATATCAATATTAATAATAATATTAAAGAGACAAATTTTTAATACTTATTCAATAATGCAAACAAATTTAATACAACTAAATATTTTATTAATAGATCGCCTTTTCTAATTTCATTGTGAGATACATATTGATCCTGATTCATGACATTATTTTGACTTATGGAGTCAGGGTACAACCACTTTAAGACATCTGTGAAAAACCTATCAAAACTTTTGCATTCACCCAATAGTTTAGTAAGTTATTAAGATTTATTAGTAAGGTACGAAAATTTTTTGGAAAGTTTCTAAAAGTTTTCAGTAATTTATTGTACTAAAATGCTGCTACATGCTTGTTGCCCATGAAAGTCAACTTAAGATATGTGATACTAATATAGAAATATTTATGCTTGTAAAGGCCAATTCCCCATCTCCAATTAATTGAATCTGCCGATTAAATTTCAGTGTTCCATTGAAAGTGACCAATCACGAGTGACACTTAATCCGATTAAATTAATCGGAGATGGTGGAACACTGGTCCTAAATCTTTAAACGACAAAAAGTAGTATAAGAATAGCTCACAATTGCAATACACACAGTAGGCGATTTTTGGCGATTGTCTGGTAAATATACCAAAGTGTACCAGAGCGTACACTGGGCGTCATGAATGTTCTTATACCTGAAAACAACTATTAAGTTCAATATATCCGGTAGAAAAATTCATTTTATTAAAATAAATTTTCTTATTGGATATCTTTGGCGTCTTTCTTCAGGTGTAAAAGTATTCATGACGTCCAGTGTACACTCTGGTATACTTAAAGTCAAAATCTTTAAAAGTCATAAATTTTTCGTAATTAAAATTTGTGTCCAATCTAAGTAACGACGCTGAACATAAAATAACACAAAATATAAGTTCCCGGTACTTCTGAGAAGAAACGATGATTTCTTTAACAAATCATTCATTATTTACATAAATAACGCGTTAAACATAATTTTATACATACGTATAAATGTGAATTATTTATATTTATATTTATTATTTATATTTTATGCATGAATATTCAATCTTGATTAAAATCGTAGACAAATTGCATAAATATCTATAAAAAAATATTATTTTCATATATATATACATGTATATACACATTTCTTGTAGATAGATAGAAAACTTTATTGATCTCTTCAGGATTACAGTTTAATACAATAATACATTTGTCGTACATTCTCCCAAATGAGAAGGAAATGAAATAAAACGGATATAAAGGACGAATAGTATCGCGCTACGTGGAAATTAAGGAATTATTCACGACAATTTGAATACATTGGGAATGCGTAAACATTTAATTAAAAAATCGTCACACAAATATCAAGACCGTCATCGCGAGACCAAGGCGGACGAGGAAACGAGTGCGGCAAGAAAGTGCGTTAAAGGTTAAAGGTTTCTCCCGTTTATAGAGCAATGTAGAACATAAAAAAATATTAGACCCGTATTTTTAGTGGCTTTTTTCGACGTGAAATAGCCTCTCAAAAGTAACGAATTTTTTTCATTTTTCATGAATATCTTCGAAAATACAAGGTGTAGACAATATAAGGTTATAGATAAAAGTTAATGCTGTTAAACTTCTGCATTGAAAAACATTTTTAATTTTTAAAAAATAATGATGGGGTGGGGATAAATTAAAATTTGACATTTTTGAAAATGTAATTACGCCGTAATTACCATTGTGAAGACTATAAAAAACAATAAAATTTTTGTCTAAAACATTTTTTCAAAAATATATTATAGTTTCGAAGATATTCATAAAAATTGGAAAAATTCCGTTATTTTCAATGGACTGTTTCACCCTCTAAACGTCGAGAAAAGCCGCTAAAAAAATAGGAGTCTGATATGTTTTTATGCTCTACAACATATCCGAAGCGCATCGAAATCGGTGAGGGACACTTCCGACCGTTCCCTTGTTAGACCCTGTTTCACCAATGTTGTTTAACTTTCAGTTTAGCTTAATTCATTCTTTGTCTCTTTCCAACTGTTACTTCAGAAAGAGACAAACATGAATTAAACTAACAATAAGATTAAAGTTAAGCGACGTTCGGTGAAACTAGACTTTAAGGTTACAAGACCGAAACCGTTAATTTATCCTGGAATCGGTAAAAATTAACCAATTACAGTCAACTATTCTCTTCACTTTTAACGGTGACTGGACAATTTTTACCGATTCCGGCATAAGTTAACAGTTACGGCCTTGCATAAACCAGCCTTCAATGACACGACCGACACAAGTTGACACAAGTCATTTTACCCTTGTTGTTCACTGAATATTGAAAAAAAACAGACGTTTGTGTCACTAAATGGACAGCACCAATATAGTAGACCAGGGGTTTGATCATGAATCTTTTTCTCTAGTATGAAGTCATGAAAATGGAAAACTTTATAGACGAATATTGAACTCGTCAATGAAATTTGTCTCTTTTTACAAGTTCACATTAGAGGAAGATTCACGATCGAGTCTCAGCCTTAAAGTTCGACCTACGGCAAACCAGATCTCTCGCTTGTTTCGAGCAAACTGATCTACCCCAAAACAATCTCCCTCCCCATTTCCCACCCATCACCGGAAGGACGCATTATTTGTTGTGTGCATACACGCGCATATACCGGGAGCGCGTCCGTATATGTGTCGCATATCCATAGGACACGAATGCATGTACTTTTCCGTATCCGTGTTCGTGACGCGCGCGGCATGCAGAGTAGAAGTAACCCGCGACGTGTTGGTGGTTGTCAAATACGTCAAATACGTATCGATAAACAAAACAGCCCATCGCATTCAACAGCGCAAATCGATAGCCGTCGAACGGTGATCGCATGAAACGTCTACGTTCCGGGACATTATCTTGAGATGGACTTTTGCAGCACGGCAGAAAGGAGAACTCCGGAGAGAGACGAGGAATCTTGTCTGTTTACCTGATCATCGCTGACGTCGCGCGTGGCCGTCGACGATGTCGCGTCGCCGACGGTCGTTCTCTTGCGCACTTCCGACATCGGCTTGGCAACCACGAAACACTAAGGTAGAACCACGCGATCGGGCGGATTGTCGATGCGGCGAAGAGACACGCGAAACTCGAACAGAGAGCCGGAACGCCGATGAGATACGTGTGTGAAAGAGAGAGAGCGCGCGCGCGCGCGATCGCGTATTCACATATTTCGCGGACAGAGTGCGGGAACGGACGTGACGGGCACGCGTCGCATCACGTCTCCTCGCGATACATCGCACTTGCGCGAGGCGAAACACCGGATTACGAGGAGAATCTCGGAACAAGGCGGCAGGAGGGAGGGGGAAGGGACGAGCTCTCGGGTAAGTTCGGGATACTTCGGTTAATCAATGACAACGAATTCCATACTACACTAGAATTATCGACATATGGGATCTGTTCTTTATTGCTGAACTCCTGAATCAGTGCACACTGGTGCAATGAGTTGGAATGAGAGGTAATCTATTTGTTTCATTTTAACTTATTGCACTAGTTCAGTAGTGCAGTAATAAAGAGGCTTGTTTTCTATTGCTGCACTGGTGAACTAGTGCAGTAAGCTAGAATGAGAAAAAATATACTTGTCCTACTCTAACTTATTGCACTAGTTCACCAGTGTAGCAACAGAAAACAAGCCTAAGAACGGGCCTATAGAATAGATTGCTGATCGCTGGGGAAAGAGCGGTCGCACGAGTAGAGGGAGAGGTAGATAGAGTATTATGGGGTGCTTTCCAATTGCAATATTCCCTAGATAGTTTCGTGCACATGACGACACAAATGGCGTTCGAATTGTCACCACAGACATCTATAGACGGAGCATTAGCTACAAGAGGGGTTTTGATATCGGGGCGCGGGAGGCACTCATCTGGGGTGCTTTCGCGACGTAGATCAAAATGATCCGGATCAAAATGATCCGTGCTATGATTGGTCAAATCTGAAATTTCGTAGCATCACATTGAAATTTTATTCAATGAAATTCCAGATTTGACCAATCATAGCACAGATCATTTTGATCCGGATCATTTTGATCTACGTCGCGAA